TGGCTATTGTAGCTAGCGTCATATTGTAATAAATCGCTGTCTAAAAAGTTTTAATATATAGCTATCAATCAGCTATAAGATTTGTAGATATTTTGTGCTAGCTACAAAGCTGTGATATGTAACTAGCGACACATTGTTACAAAATTGCTAGAAAATCGCTATAAAGCTAGTCTCTCGCTAGTCGCTAGCTTATTGCCCACCGGGTTAAATGTAAATAAATTATATATTTTAATATGATTTATTTAATGTAATTTACGCTTAAAAGTAATTCGCGTTTTTACATCAAAATAAGTAAAAGATGCATCCCTACAATGACGGATTAAGACTTCTTGGGGCCCGGGGCTCCTCTATAATTTTAGGGGACCCCTAAATTTTTGGGGCCCAAGGTTATAGCCCCCCTAGCCCCCTAGTATAGAATATGTATTATACTAGTCAAGTGCATAGCTTATTTATACCAAAATAGCATAAAATTTCATTTTTTAATGTTTATTTGACATTTAATAAGCGGTTTCTCCATTTCCAACCAAAACGCCAAAGTTTGCCAACGTTTATATATACGTGTTCAAGAGGGTTTAAATCAAGCTAATGTAAAAAGCTATAACTGTATAAAATGCTTACCTTAACACTAGATTTACCCATATGATACAACTCATTATCTCTTTACCCAGATGATACCACTCATTATCTCTTTGAAAAATGACAGACGTGTTTTGAAAGTTAAAATCATTGATATTATAATCTTTGAACAAATAGAGAAGTATCAGTAATTTCTTTTACAAATATATACTATCAGAAGAAAGATCTATAAAGATCTATATAATCTGATATTTAATAAAAAATAATTAACTTGGAATTATATAATGAAAATAGTAGCAAAAATATTCTCAAAAAAGACAAAAAAAATTGTCAACTTTCAAATTCAAAAGACAAAATAGTTGCGAATTTAAACTATTACCATTAGTTCTTATAGTTTGGAAGCTTAAAATCTAATTATTCAAAAGTTGGAATTCAATTTCATTAAAACTTGAAATTAACAACTTCAAAACTTGAAATTCTCCACTTTAAAACTTGGAATTCAATCATTTAAAAGTTGGAAACTAGAGAAAATTACTTGGGTGATAGATGCAATTTATTAAACGAAAAGATTGAATCAGATCAGCAGAAAAAAAGCAAAAACAAGTAGAGAAACTAAAATATCAAAAAGATTTTTTTACTTGCTATCTCAAAGTATTTATTTATTATTTGAAACCTCTTACTTGTTTTTTGGAAGTGTTTTCTTGGTTACTGATTTTTCATTTTATTTTATTTTTTATTTATTTTTCTTTCTAACTTTCTAACAACTTAAGTACTTATTGTTCTGGATTATTATAAGTGTATTTATATTAAGTGTACTACCTTTATATTTATTTATCATTACTACCTCCATGATATTTTGGTATGTATATTGGCATGATGTTTATGTATTGGAATTATCATTAAAAACAAATCTTTAAAAAAATTAACAAATACATTAATCATGATCTTGCCAATTTGTGTATTTTTTTGCCAATTTGTGTAATTTGTATATTTGTGTATAGTATATATGAATCTACATATATGTGTGTATATTATGTATGTATACAATTATTGTATACATACCTGTATTGAATACAGGGGGATATAAGTATAGGTGTTAATATGTATTTGTGAACGTAAGTGTGTTTGTATGTATTTGTATGTGTCTGTATATGTGTGTATGTGTGTGAGTAATACTAAATTACTAATATTTTTTTTATGATCTTTGTAATTATTTTTATTTTTGACATTTTATTTTTATTATTATCATTTTACTTTTCTCATTCTATTGTTATTATTGTTACTACTACCAATTTTATTTTTATTATTATTAGTATTTTTACTTCTTCAACTTTTAATATTCGTTTTGTTACTGCTGTGGACGATTAATATTACTATTAGCGTTAACAATATATTTATTTGCTTTTATTTGCAAGGTTTTACTTAAGATTAGTACATGTATTATTTGTAAACTTCCGTAAATGTAACAACTATTTCAGAATATATGAATTGATTGATTATCTTCAATTACAAAGAACATTGGTTTTTTTCCAAAGTTTGATTTATCATCTTTGCTAATAACTGTCTTTGGATATATAAATTTTTTTAAACCACCAAATTTATGATTTTTATTTTTTTGTATGACCGTCAAAAAAAAGTCCGCAAATTTAGTATGCATTGTTAACTTTTTAACAATATATTTGCCACTAAATTAAAAGATTCGCTTCTTTATTGCTTTTCAAGAAACCGCAGAAATAAAAACGTTTAAAAGCATTGAAAAAATACAATGTGGTTTGGTTGGAAAAATAGGTTTTGCCGCAAAATATTTTAAAGGAGTATAAATCTCATAATGTAAGTAAAAATTTAATGAGATTTTTATTGGAATTTAAAAACGATTTTAACTGAAAAAAAAAAAAATTTAATATGACATTTTTACTGGGGTGTAAAAAAACGCAGGAGTTAGAGTCTCATAATATAATAGAAGAATATTTACGGACATCGAGTTGTAGTCTCATACTATAATAAAAGAGTATTTACGGACCTGGAGTTTCCGCTTTAGTTAGCGTAGTTTGAATTTTTGACCTCGAGTGTAAGTATAGTTGTTTATTAAAACGATACTTGATATATTTAGGCAAACTTAATTTAACTTTTAAACTATTTTTTTGGTATAACTTTTATTCCAACTTTTTAAAAGGTACCTGGACTCGGACCCGGTATTTTCTTCCGGGTACCCGTAATCGGGGACTCAGCTTAAAACGGTTTTGGCATATTTCAATTATAAAAAATGGCTATGGATGCCATGAGTGTTGGTGATTCGGACTTGAACCTTGTGGAAGGTGCATTGGAATTTTTGTTAGAGGAATTGTGAATGAAGTAAAGTTTTATTTGTTGTTGTTTGATTTAAGAAATTGAAATAGAGGTTCTTAAAAGACGTCTGATCTTAATTGTTAGTCTCCTTAAAATTCTTAACAATCCAGGAGTTCATGAAGAGCCGAAAGTATCCCCCATTCTTACTCACATGAAATAAAGAAATTATTGAAAAAACAAAAAGACTCTGGTTTGAATATTTTTTCACTCCATTCACTGATGATGACAGTGATGGTGTTGTGTAAAATGCATTTGAAGCTCGACAGACAATCGAACCGGCTCCCAGTGATCCTAAGTTACGTCTTTTTGTTTCCTTAAAACATCGAACAAATTGAAACTTTGTGCCAAAGCTCAAAGACCCACCAAGACTGAAAAAAAAATGTGAGAAAACAAATCCCTGTTAGTCTCTTCAACATCTGAGCGCGTAATATTGATAATCTATAAAACACGGCTGAAGAAAAAAGATCTGACATTTTATGCCGACAAAATAGTTCGAGGTGTATGTTCTTCCATCTTTCTTTCATCAACTGATGACTCAAATTACAATAACTTTATATATGTTTATTGCAAAAAGTAGAACCACAGTAAAAATTTTCAAAAATATTTAGGTTAAAAAATGACCCTATTTTTGAAAGTACTGTCACAGATTTAGTATGTCAAAGTTGGTTCGTTTCCTAGTCATTAATATTCCAAGTACTACTGTTTTTTTAATTTATTATATTCTTAGTTTTGAATAATAACGGTCTTGTTTATTATTACTTTTGTAAAAAAACGGACGTGATGGAGACGTTGAGGCGATTCTTAAAAACGTCAGTCATAAAAAGAATAAAAATCATAAATTTGATTGTTTAAAAGTTGCATAGGTTTTTAACTAATAATAATATAACGATAAAGTTGTTATTTTTTTAACATTAATACTTGGCTTAACTTATGGTGTTTGTTTTGTTTTCATTTTACATATTTAAAAAAATGTTGAACTGCCTATCCAAGTCACTGATCCTAATGATTTGACTGCTGAAGAATTCAACAGCTACATTACGACTGGATTGAAATCAGATGAATCAAGTTATGCAAATTAGAACATGCGTTGAAATTAATCAAGACAACATCGATTCGATGAAAAAAAATTTTCAATTCAAACGGGGGGAGAATAACAGCTACAACTTTGAATGACTCAAGTCTTTTGAAAGATTTTTTCAAGAATCAACATTAATTTGTAAAATGTTGAAAACTTGTGGTTTATTAGAAATAATAAAAAACTATTAAACACAAATATTTTGGAAAATATATTTAATATCATAAATTTTTTACATTTTTGAAAAATTTCGGTTTCGTAGAGATTTCGTCTCGTATGGACCGAGAACCGAGAGGAAAAAAAACCTCGATTCTGAAAGTATAGGTTAATATATCTTTGAAAACAAATAGATGGCTTATTTTACAACAAACTATAATATATTGTTTTATATAGACTATTATATCATTAAATGTTTTTAATGTGAAAAACGATTTTTAAAATGGGTTAAGCCTATTGCAGTAATGTAACTGACGTGAATATGTTGTAATTTACTTTCCCCGTCAATATTTGATATTAAACTTTATCTTTTTACCGTTACTAAACATTGCGTCTCAAAACGGACGAAACGGTAAATGTTGTAGTAATAAAACCGATACGAAACAAAACAAGATTTTTTTACATTTTGTAAATGTGGTACAAAACAACAGTTATCTTTTCGTACTGTGTTAAATCGAAATTCCGAGAGGATACAAGAAATTTACTGACAAGATTTGAAAAACGGCTGGCTAATTTATACTTTTTGATGATTACCGTAATATTTTAATTGAATATAGAATTTCGTTACAATTTAACTGTTTTAACATAAAATATACTGGTAAATTTACATCACTACATAATAGACCATGTTTATTTTAAATAAAGACAATCTGAGCGTTACGTTCAAATCATCACTTTGAACTGAACTTTTTCAAGTTCAGTTCAAAGTGAGGAAAAGTGAGGATTTGAACAATATAAATATATTAAAAAAAAAAAAAAAAATTGAAATTCAAATATATTCACACAAAAAAAATATTCTATATATTTACAAGAGTTAAATATAAATACAAATTAATAATATTAGTTTTCGAAGATTTGCACTTAAAAAAAATTTTTATTTTCAAATTTTATTAAAAAATTGTATCATTAAAATGCAACTTAATGTAACGAAATTATCGAAAACCAACTTGGTCATCCATCGTTAACCCCTCGATCAATCTTTGAGTAATAACCTTTTCTAACTTTTGATTCTTTCATTGATTGAGTACGAGTAACTCGACGATCGTCGTTGTCTACGTTTAAGTATGCTTGATTCAAAGCATCTTCAAGTTTTGTCGGAGCAAGAGAATCAGGAGATCGTGCTCGCCGCAGAACTGGCGAACTTAATCTAAGTGTAATTTTATTATGACTTGAGAAAGAATTTGTCGGAGAAACGAGAGTATGACTTGACATAGTTGTCAGAGGAGATGGACTGCGACCTGAAGATTGAGGTGCACGAGCCAGTGGCGAAACAGGTATACCAGATACAGAGCGACGACGAGGAGAATGCATTACGGACCGAGCAAGTTTAGGAAATACACAATGGAGAAAAGCTAAAAAAAAGCGATCATTACTTAAGGAAGAAAAATAACAACCATTTTAAATGCAGTTACTAAATGTCACAAAGAAAAAGCGTCTTGAATGCACGTTCCTAAGTAATGTTATAGAGAAAAAGGCGTATAAAGGCGTAAAAGTTATAAAGCATGCTAATAAATAAATTAAAAAAAAAAAAAAATTAAATTAATAGTATTACATTTAATTATAATCTTATAATTTTAGATATATTAAATAACACATTTTAATGCTGACGGAATATTTAGGCTTAAATAATATATTTAAATTTTTTTTAATGAAAAAATAAAAATTATAAAATACTATTAATTATTAAGTAAATGACAACTTAAGAGTTTATTAAAAAATAGACATCTTAAAATTCATTACCTGGTCTGGAAGTCATTGAATTAGGAGATATACTTGAAGGCGTAGAGCTTGCCGCTGAGTCATTTTCTGAGGTTTGGGCATTAACTCTAAATGAACCTTTTTTGTTAACTCGTTTTATAGAAGAGGTTTTACGAACAGGGTTTCGCCGAATACGCCGAAACAAAGGCGACCTTTTACTTGTTAAACGGTTAGTTTCATCTGTAAGATTTATGCGACTTCTAGATTGCGATCTAGGTCGCGTTATTACTCTATTACCGATAGATTTTCTTTTTCTTCCTGTGCGTATAGAAGTTTTATCAAGTTCAGTAACACTTAAGCTAATAGTTTCACCGCCCTGAAGGATCAATCTGACAACTTCAACATGTTGCAACCCTTGAATGGATTCATTATTAATATGTGTGACAAGATCATTGATTCTTAAACCTGCCTCGTATGCAGGACTGCCTTCTTCAACACTCTACAAAATTTAATAAATATCAATCATAAAATCACATAAGAACTGTAACGCATATATGATTTAAAACGTTGGAAATAATCAATTTGGTAAGCAGTTTTAACTCATTAGACTTTTAGCTTCAACTTAACGGCGCAAATATTTCAAAATGCAACATAAAATGCATGCAAGTCAAAAGCAAACGCGGACCCATTGGGGAGGCGATGGGGATAATCGCCCTTAGACATTTTGGAAATAATTTTTTTTGGGTATTTATATATTTAACAAAGCATGTTGTTTGAAAACGAAAGTAAATTATGGAAGCTGTTTAAAAGTGATAAGAAATTTTAATAAAACCCTAATATCGCCCCGCCCTCTTACTAGATGGTGTGGATCATCTTAAAATAGCATAAAAAGTTATAATAACTATTGTATGTTAAAAAATTATATTGACCGTTGTATGTTGAAAAAAAATATTTGAAAATGGTTGTAAAATATATTTTTACCTCTACTAAATGATGCATAGTATAGTTGGATGTGTTACCGATGTATACTCTTATAGCTTTAAGTGAAAAACCAAGAGCAAGGTTACCTCGCTCAATTACAATTGATGGTCGAATAGAAGTAGGACTAACAATATTAAGTGTTTCTGTTGGATTTTCTGGAGGTGGTGAACAAGCTTCAGATCTAAGTTTTTGAAAACTACCACGAGCGTTTCTTCTACGGGTTCTTTTTTTAATTAACTCTTTTTCTAAAAAAAAGTAGAAACTGCTTAAAGATTAAAGTGAAATTATATTCTTGTAAAGAATCTAGTTTATTTATTTTTGGTCTCTTTCTGCTTAATAATAGAATTCTAATTTTAAAATACAAACTCACTATTTAAAGAAAAAAAAGAAGCAAGTGAACATAAATACATATTAAAGTCTAATTCGTGATATATTCGTAAATAATTCGTGAAAAAATAAAATAATCTGCAAACATTTCAAGGCATTGGTAGACATGGTTATACTTTGAATTTTTTAAAAAAATTACCACATAATATAACTAATCAACATAAACTTATTTTATTAAATGAAGAACAAACATAGTTTATTACTGAAATGTATATCCATACATTTCAATAACAACAACCAATATAAGTCCTGGAAAGAGTTCGCAATAAATTTAAATTATAAAAAATAAAAATATTACTCAATGTTTACTTCTATTGCAAGAATATTTTTGCACACTTAAGTTTTATTGTTGGAAAATAACAGAAAGATTTTTATTTAAAATGTGCTTTAAGTGATTTTTGCACTGTAAAATAGTTTTTAGAATTACAAACCTTAATTCCATTATAACATTTAAAAAGTAATAAAAAAGTTCAGTTTTCATTTTTTTCTATTTTGTAATGTATGTATATATATATATATATATATATATATATATATATATATATATATATATATATATATATATATATATATATATATATATATATACACACATGTAAATTTTTGTTTTAGATGCTTAGAACCTTTTCTAAAATACCATTGTTTTCTAACCCTGGACCTCTTGCTTCTAAAGCATGTGCTCTAACAACTGCGCCATGACCATGAGCTATAAAAAGTTGAGAGATAAAAACCTAAGTTTTTTTTATTTGTATGATTAAAATAATAACAATATTAAAATAATTTTTAGTAATAACAATGTTTTGTTTTTTTGTTCTTTATCATTTAAAAAAACTGTAAATCTGTAAACACCTTAACCACTAACTTTTTAACCTTAAACTAGCACTAAAAACAAATAACTTGTGGGTAAAAAAATGTGCAAATAAAAAATAATTCTCACCAGCCAGATCTAGTTCAGGAACAGCACGACTAAAATCAAGCATTGGTGGTGTTGATTTAGTACGATGAAGTTTGTTGTGACATACTAATTTTGAGGATTTACCTAAAGGAGTATTTGGCTCAGATAAAACTGAAGAAGTACCCTGCATTGTCAAATCATCTTCACGAGAGGTATCAATTACTAAAGGAGACGGTTGTTTAGGACTAGGAACACGTTGCATTGTAAAAGTTGCAGTTGAAAGAAAGCGCCGTGGTGAAAGATCACAACTACTGTTACTACCACTTAAAAGAAAAAATTTAGAATAACAAGAAAATACTAAACACAAAGTGTTGCTTAAAAACACAACAAATTAAAAAAAAAAACGCTTTTGTATTTGAACTATAAATTTTATAAAATGTGTATAAAAAATTTTGTAATGTACAACACAAATGCGATGTCACAATTCTGTGATATCACATTTGTATTGTACATTACAATACCAACATTGATAAATCTTGATTTATTAAGATTTATCAATGCTATATGAAATAATAAAATGAATTTACATTCTTATATGACAGCTTGCATTTAAAAACAAATAAAAATTACAACAAATACTTCTAAAGGTTATTTTTAAACACATACTCTGTTTCTCTATCAGAATCATCCAATCGTTTTTTTGTATCAAGAGATGTTTGTCTCATAAAATTGCCACTACTTGTGCTATCAAGAGAACTGCTTGTCATTGCACCACTATCTGTCATTGTACCACTATCTGTTTCACTTTTATCTTTGTAGGGTGAAGAGATATTTCTTTGAAATTGTAAAAGTTTCATGTTGTGATCATTACCATCTTCTTCATCAGGTATCAAACATGTTTTTTCAGAAATGTTGATTGAACTTTGATGAGCTATTTTGTCAGTTTCTTCTGAGATTTCATCAAAATGTTCTTTTATGCTGTTTACTAGATAAAAAAAACATTAGCTCTGCAAAACTCAAACTCAAAAAACTTTTTTTTGGTAAATTAAAAAAGAAAATAAAGAGCACACCTTCTTTAGCAGATTGTTGCAAATCTCGAACTTCTTTACTCAATTCATTATCAACAGAACTTAGTATTCTAGAAAATCTCGGAGAACACGAGGAAAAGTTGCCAAGCTCAATATCACCTTCATCATTTTCTTCTTCATCACTGATAAAATGATTATAGCGATCTTCTCGTGCTAAAATAATATAAAATTAGCATTAAAAATGTTTTGCTAATTTGAGAATGAAACAAATTATTTATAATTATTATTTTTAAAATATATTCTTATGTATTTTTTTAAATTATACATAATAGTGCAATTTTTTATGGTATATGCATTCTAGATGGCTGCCAAAGAAAAAAAAAAAAAATAAAAAAAACATATAAAAGCCTAAAATCACAACAAGTAGCCCTCATACCATTTAAAAGTAAAAATCACAATAAGGAGCCATCATACTGTTCAAAAGTAAAAATCACAACAAGGAGCCATCATATTACTTAAAAGTAAAAATCACAACAAGGAGCCATCATACCATTTAAAAGTAAAAATCACAACAAGGAGCCATCATACCATTTAAAAGTAAAAATCACAACAAGGAGCCATCATATCACTTAAAAGTAAAAATCACAACAAGGAGCCATCATACCATTTAAAAGTAAAAATCAAAAGGATCCTTCCTAACATTTAAAAGCAAAAATCAAATAATAAATAATAATTTTTTTATTGCTAGTAAATTGATAAAAAAAACCTTTTCCTTTTGGAAAGGAAAAGGTTTTTTTTATCAATTCCAATTAAAACATATATCTAAAAAAAAAAAAATTAAATTTAGATGTAATTTGAATTCTGCGAACTATAAATTGAAATTTTCTAGTTTTAGCAATAATGATACAATGCGATTCTTCAATGGTACATCATATGATAAAAGAAAAAAATGCTTAAAAAAAAAAAAAGTTACATCATATGATGATGCTTAAAAAACAATTTACATTATATGAAGATGATAAAAAAAATGATTCTTAAAAAAAAAATTACATCATATGATGATGCTTAAAAAAAACAAGTTACATATGAAGATGATAAAAGCCAAAACGAATTGAAAATTACCAACAAGTTAAACAAGAAATTTAGATAGTTAACAACGTTTAGGTTTTACTGCATAAATATGCTTAGCCAGTTACATTTAGTTAAATATACAAAAAGCTTTTTATTTTTCTCCATTGGCCGCTACTATTATTAATAACTGTCAATTCATCATTGTCTTAAAAGTTCAAGTTGAATTTGTTATAAAAATCTTAAACTTGAAAAAAAGAATAATTCCTGCAAACCTTATTAATAATATTATGTTAATAATTAGTAAAAAAGAATATACTATCAAAATAACTTGTGTCTTCTTCATCTCCTAATACAGGTACAAACTCTGCTTTCACACGCAACAAATGATTCCAATTCATATTTATAAAAAATTTATGTTCTTTTACTTCAAACGCTCCTCCTGTCCCAAGCCTGTCCATTGGATTATTTACTAAAAGTGCTTTTATTAGTTCCACAGCTTCAATGGGTAAAGCTTCTTCTCCTTCTGGCCATTCAATTTCACCTATTAAAAAGATATAATACAATTGGTTGTAAACTCTTTTTGAAATTACTTATATGGTCCTTATATAATTTTTTTATTTTATATGATATAACATTTTTTGAGATTTTTTGAAAAAATTGTCATTTTGAGTAAAAATATTGAACTTGTTTAACTTTTAAATAATACTAATAGTGTCTACAGATAAAGTTGAAACAATGAGGAAAAAAATTGCCAAAAGTAAATTCAGAATAAAAAATTACTAATGAAAATTTCTAAAAAAAATGTGTACAAAAGTACAAAGTATGTTTTATGTAAATAATTTCTATTACTTTATGTACTTTATAAACATAAAATTAATTTGTATAATTGTTTCATAAATTTTAACAACAGTATTAATCAATTAAAAATAAAAGTATTCAACAGTATACTTTACAGACAAAGATAATTTAAGATTTTAAAACAATTAAAACAAGGTTTATAAAAACAATAAAAACAAGTCTTATAAAAACAATTATGCAAGGTCACTAAATAGCATTATAGTTATAAAAAAAAAAAAGGAATACTGTATTAGGGTCAAATTTTTTTAAATAAATGCAGTTTGAGTAATTTTTTTGTTTTAGTGATATCATTTGCAGCATTTTATTAATTGGAAAGTTGTCATCTTACAGTTACCCAACATAAAAGCTTTCAATGTTAGGCTGCAAGTAATAACCCATCTGAGAAGGGACGATTCTATCATCATTATTGATGTTAAAACGATAATGAAATTAGCTGTATTGTTTTTAATGTCTGGTTCACTTATAATTGAAAAATTAAATTAATATCCAAAAACTTGCATCCACCATTTTGCTTCAAAAAAATCAACAGCAAAACATAGTTAAAAGTACTTAAAAAATATTAAAACAATAATAGCATAAACAGTTTAAAGTACTTAAAAAAGTTCAAGTAGCTACAATACAGAAAAACAAAATTGAAAAGTTATGTTTTTAGAAACTTTTTTTTCTACTTATAACTTTCTCATAAAATATTATGGCTAAACTCATTTCTTCTAGTAAATCTTTTTCCAGAACAAAAAGGTTTTATAAAAGTGTATAAATAAATGAAACTATAAATATTTAAAATTATTTGTCTTGCCTTATATGCTCCTATATGATAACTTTATTCTTTTACTATCTTCTTTTATCTTAAATACTCATTTGATTAATTCCGTATTCTCTTATCTCATATAAAAAATTATTCATAGATTAAACAAAAATAAAAATAAAGAAAAGAAAAAAAGTAAAAATATAATGTATTTAAAAACAAAAATACAAAAAGTTAACAACAAAAAAAAATTAAATATAAATTTATTTATTTTTAACATTTTGTTGCGTTAGTTTAACAAGGTTCTAACTGATTTTTTTTATATTAGGAGAATAGCAAATAATTCGTCTTTTCTTTTTTTTATTGTCTAAAAAAAAAATTTAAATAAAAGTTTTTTGTTTATTTATGTATTTTCATACATCAACCAAAAAAAAAGTACATAAAATAAAAAAATAATATAAATAATTTTAATTAAACATTAAAAAAAAGTTAAAAGATTTTTTCTAAATTCTAAAAAAAAAAAAAAAAATATTTCAGTTAGAAATTTGTCAAACTAAGGCAATGTTTGTGTAGATATCTATTCTTGCTTTTTTTTTTACTTTTTAGAGATTAGTACCAAAATAA